CATTAAGGTCGCTTAAGGTAGTGTATATTTTAAGGTAGCAGCAAATTCAAGTATGGATTTTCAGTACATTGTAAAGAAAGTGATCGTTGAGCGCAAAGTTTGCCCGGAAACAACAATTGCAGCCGACCCTTGGGATGTCTTCTTTCATGCTCTTTATAAGCCGGAAAAGCCGCATCGTTACGACGATCGTTCACTGATTGATATTGAAAATGGTTTTGGATACACATTTGTGGAACGCATAGATTGCTAAATCGTTTTCTGTACACACAACGTCCAGCTTCATGTCATTTCCTGAAAGCACATAAATAATATTGGTTTCGCCTGAGAGACTGGCTTCTCAGATTAGAACACGAAAACTGTTTTCATCAATTTTTTTTGGGGGATTTTATGAAATTTTAACGATTGAAATGGTTTTTTCGCATTATTTCTCATAATTTTTCTCTCATTTCTGCTCTTTCATTAAAATTGGCCAATTCATCGCAATCAATTTATATCAGTGTAAATTGTATCTCTTGAAAGTAAATTTAAATCTTAATTGAGAATGGAAGTGATTATGATGTGACAGGGTTTTGAGATGACTGATATTACGGTGCGTTTTGAAGGAGTTGAGTTGAACAGCAGCAGATTGTTGACAACAACGAGTTGCAGTTGTTGACAACGTGAGGCTGCAGATTGATTGCAAAGCGTTCGCCGAATACAATTACAATAACGCCGCACAACTTTGCGATGTTTCTCCATTGGACGACAACAATATTCGACAACAAATTTCAACAGGCGACAACCAAAAAATGGTCAGTGTTGCAATATTTTATGATGCAGAGCATTTCTCTGATCGTCGACTTCGGAATTGAATGCTCAAAGTTTTACGGTTTCGTTAAAATTGTTCGCTGAGCTTAAGAGAATTGCTAAATGTTGGTTGTAATCAGAATCACTTTACAGAGGGTTCCATCCGAAAATGTTGATTATAAGGAAAAAATGAGGCTCAGACAAGGGACGGACAAAGAAACGCGATCCGTTAAAATAATGCAAATTGATGATGACAGTGGTGCATTCTCAAAAACTAAACTCGTTCCTCGATACCAAAGTTGGTACTCATCTTCAGTGACTATTAGCTGTGTCTTCATGTTTTCCATAGTTTACTGATCTGCTGATATGAATCAGTCATATGCATAAGAAACACTACGTTCCGAATCATTTTGCTGTTGATTTTCACAACGAGTGTTGCATACATTGCAATGCTATTGTTTGAACAGTGCTCTTCGCTAAATCGATCTGAAATTCAGAGAAAAGAGTGATGTTAAGAGTGGATCGGAAAGGGACACGTTTTCTACATTATCAGACATCCGTAAGTGTCTTGATTACCCTCATAACAGCTCTGTGTCCATTGTTGGTAATTCAGACTCGAACGAATAATCAGTTTATATGCAGTGAACTGCAATACAAACTCAATGTTGGAAATACATAGGAGATTTAAAATGTGCCTTCATAACTACGGGTATAACTCACCTTACGTCGGTAATCGAAAAACAACTTAAGACGAAATTACTTGTCACTCGGCTAAACCAAAAATAACCATCCTCTGTTCTGAATTTTATGTATGAATGCACTTTAAATAATGTATGGTTAATAAGAATCTACTTTAAACATACGAACAAATAAACTTTATTTTTTATTACAGTGAATAAAGTACGCATTGACGTCTGCTGAAAATATACTGTTTTAGTAGGATTTTATATACTTTTAATCTTTTTTATTGCGCAGTAACATGATTTTATGTGCTTTTAACGTTTTCCTAGCATAATTTCACACCAATTTTTGTGGCGGACAGATGTAAAGTCGAATAAAATGACTTAAACTTGATTTTTATTTTTCCATACATTTTTTTTCTAACGACGTCTAATCGAGAACGACTTAACTCGGAACGACGTAACTCGAGGTATACTTCCATAGAGGTTGTGCTGAAATTCTGACCTAGATAAGCTCTTTCCTTACAACCGGTAATTTCATCCTCATTGCTCGAGCTGCGACGATATATTCCGAAGTTAATCACTGAATATACCTCAATTATATATGAATTTTATCATTTTCTGCTGATATTTAATGATAGCAGATAGCTACGTTTATGGCAATGTAATGAATGAATTCAAGGGTGATGAATCGTGTAAAGAATGCGAATTAGTGCGTGATCAGTTTCGCGGTGAAATACGACGGTCAAGAGGTGATAAGAAATTGATGAGCGCTGACTCAGAAGAGGTTGCGGCCGCACTGAATGCACTCCAGAATGACAGTGCACTCCCGAAACAATTCTATTTACCGCATATATCAACCAATCAAAGTGTACAAACTGTTCAACAAATTGAAAAATTCCTCATGAAACTTGGCTGATTTGTCATGAGCCGAACTGGTTTTCGGAAATGATTATCAATGATATGAACGAATAGTCCAGAATATTTTAATCGATGCTCGTTTTGGAAAAAAATCGATCGCACGATTATGAAAATACCAAAATGTTTGTTCGCAAAGAATCTAGTAAAGTTATTATTAACGAGTAATCAACGTGATATTATTATATCTCATGATGAACGTGAAAAATATGTGTGTTTAACGTGCATTAATGACATTTAGAGAATATGATGAATACGTATTTAACGAATGATTCATAAATGATCCGAGAAGGTTGCTAAGAATAAGTTAAGTTAATCGGATTGTATTACTCGCTGATTTACTTCGTTTTTTTGCTTTTGGTTTGGAGGTTTTCTTCTTTTTGGATGGTTCTGGCTGCTTGGAGGGTTTTGGGATGTTATTCGGTTGTTTGCTGTCGTTGATTGCCGACTGATTCAAGCCATTCGGCTGGATGCTGTGAACGACTGGTTTTCGTGATGAACTGCGCTTGGCTCGCGATGAGGATC